AGGATCGCCGGAGCCCAGCGGGTCGAGCTGCGGTGGCCGGGAGCGGCCACTGCACTCCAGTCTGGGCAACAGAGTGAGACTCCAACTCTGAAAAAAAAAAATTCTAGGTACAGTAGGTAGGTCTTATGGCAGAGGATACTAACAACCGGACTTCAGTGAACAGCACTATGAACAAGATACACGTTCACAGCCAAAATGTACCTGAAGTTGACAATGCAAGATACTATGAGGAAGGAAAAGGTAGCACACCCATCTGGTTGCACAATATTTTGCACCTGCAACCACTCACTGAAGAATAGCAGGTTCTCCAGAATTTTGTTCTACTTCCAATGATAGACACAGTCTTGAAAGGACAGTCCCTTCATATGTGACTCACTGCAGTAGACCCTGAGCCTCACTGGCTTCATTTACTGCCACACCTAACCAAGGCTGAGAATAAATCTACTCTTAACATTACTTCAATTACACACAGTTTTTGAAGGAAAACCCAGGGGAAACTATCCATCTCTTAGAATCACTGCTTCCAAGAACATGTGTATTCCAAGTAATTTGAGACACAAGCTAAACTACTTATCTGCTAGGGCTTGGTCTATCTTGAAGTGTATTAGATATTCAAAATGTGTATTCAATATTATATGTACACAAGGCTGGCATGGTGGCTCACACCTGTAATCCAAACACTTAGGGACGCTAAGGCAGGAGGATTGCTTGAGCCCAGAAGTTCAAGAACATAATGAGACCTCATCTGTACAAAAAACAAAACAAAAAAATAGCCAGCCCACAATTTTGCCACTGCACTCCAGCCTGGGGCAACACAGTGAGACTCCAACAACAACAAAATTATATTTACATAAATAACACAGCTATACATAATGAACATTTGAAACACAAAAGACTTTATTTAGCACCTGCTATAAATGACATTGATTTTCCTGCCATAACTAATATCCTGTCTCAGTAATTCTAACCTATTCTCACATCCTGAAAGGGAGGAAGAACATTGGTGAACAGAAGGAGAAAGTGAATCCTATCCACTGTTATATAAGAACCGTAGGTAAGTGGTAAAACAGAAAGAGCATAAGGCTCCAAATTCCCCAGGGAATGAAATTTTCCCCAACATCTACGTGGCTTAGAAACTAGACTGTCTTTCTTATAAAGAGGGCACAGGAAATGTCACAATGCTCATATTTACACTCACTCTTTAAGCCCTTTGCCTCCTTTCGGCTTTTTTCCTCCTTGTCCGAGTCATGCCTTTTTTGATTTTTTTCTTTGGGTTCACTTTTTGTGGTTTCTTTCTCCTGAAAAAGACATATGCAAAACTCCAAACAGGAAGGGGTAAAGAGTTGTTCTGTACACCTGAAAACTATTAACAGGTTTCATGCTGCAATGACTGCCCTTGCCTACCATGGCACATGGTCACTGATCATTAAACCCTTTTCATACGAACTTCTTCCCCAAGCAACCACACAACTCATAAAATACCAAATTCCAAACCCAACACCAGTCTCCCCAGTCTTTCAAGAGTTTTATTAAAAATAAAACATCAGGCCGGGTGCGGTGGCACAAGTCTGTAATCCCAGTGCTTTGGGAGACTGAAGTGAGGGGATTGCCTGAGCCCACCGGTTTGACAACAGCCTGGTTAACTTGTTAAGACCTCATATCTACAATAAAATTTAAAAATTAGCCAGGTGTGGTAGTATGCGCCTTTAATTCTGGCTACTTGGAAGGCTAAGGCGGAAGGATCACCTGAGCCCAGCAGGTCGACACTGGGTGACTATGAGCATGCCACTGCACTCTAGACTCAGTGATAGAGTGAGACTGTAACTCAAAAACAAAAAATAAAAGAACAAAAAATAGAACATCATAAAAAACAAAATTCCAGAAAGATTTTACCCATGTTCTTCTTAACTGACCCTGACTTTACTTCTCCATGTCGCCCCTTCCAGTACTTATATTCTTACATAATTTTTAAAAAATCCATCTTTTAGTTGAATACAGTGGCTCATGCCTGTAATTCCAGCACTTTGGGAGACCAAGGCAAAGGATCACTTGAGGCCAGGAATTCAAGACCAGCCTGGGCAACATAGCAAGACCCCACCTCTACAAAAAGTAAAAAAAAAAAAAATTAGCCAGGTATGGTGGCGTGTACCCACAGTCCCAGCTACTCAGGAGGCTGAGGCAGAAGTTCAAGGCTGCAGTGAGCTATGATCACACATGCCAACGCACTCCAGACCCCATCTCTGTAAAAAAACAAACAAAAATTTTCTTTATTTACGTTACATAGATATTTTTACCTAATTGTGTTCATATGTATGTAGGGTTTTCCTCTCCACCACATTTTCTAAACTTTTCTATTTTTGCTACACTGACCCCATTGTTACATTTCTTTTTTTTCTGAGCTGGAGTCACTCTGTCACCCAGGCTGGAGTGCAGTGGCACACTCACAGCCACCCCAGCATTGACCTGTTGGGCTCTGGAGATCCTTCTACCTCAGTCTTCCATGTAGCCGGAACTACATGCGGGTGCTACCACACCCGGCTAATTTTTTTTTATTTATTGTAAAGACAAGGTCTCGCCAAGTTGCCTGGGTTGGTCTCGAACTCATGGGCTCAGGCAATCCACTCACCTCGGTCTCCCAAAGTGCTGGGATTAGAGGCAGAGCCACCGAGCCTGGCCAGTTAATATTTCAATGACTGTAACAGTCTGAGTTGATACCAACATTTTCTTAACCACGTCTCCCATGACTAAAAAGTTAAACTGCTATCAGTTTTCCACTAATGAAGATAATATATAAATTATCTTTCTGGTCACCCCTTTAAAAATGATTTCCTTAGGACAAATTCCCAAAACTGGGAATAATGAATAATAATTATTTTTTATAACCCTTCCTAAACATCGCATTTATAAATACTTTCATGATTTGCAGAATATTTCAATTTTGAAAAGCCATATAAAAATAATTTTTATAATGGGATAAATCATCTATTAAATATGTTTTTGTAAACATTAAAAGCCCTGTAATGTTAAAGCACAGTGTACTGGCATTTGAGCAAATAGTAGCATATTCTTAAGACAATGGGGGAGCATAGCAAGTAGGACATAAAAGCCATCAGTCTGACTACACAGGGCACCCACAGCATCTGAGAACCTCTAAAGCAGCCCTGGCTCTTGTTCACAATGAGCAATTTTCTAGTTACAGCCATCCTAGGAAAATCGCCTGGAGCCCAAGAGACACGGGGGTCCAAGAGTCAGAGGCCACTGGCATCTCCAGTCCCCTCATGACCAGCCATGCAGGATCCTGCTGGCGGACACTCTCCTGTCTGTTGGGGTGCTTCCTTCTCATTACTTGTGAAACTATGTGACCATATACAATGGGGTGGGCTTGTATCTGTCGCGCCCCCCGTTGCCCTTCCCTCATCAGCTGAGTCGAAGGGCAAGAAGCCTCTCTCCTCCCCGCCCAGCCTCCAGCCCTTCTGCGTCTGGGCAGATACAAGTGTCGGCTTCTCTGACTCAGTGGCACTCCTGCTTCTGTCTTGACTCCTCTGCCTTCTGGGCATAGTTTTCTTCTCAGTGAGGGCAGTCCTGCTCTCCAGCTCCTGGCCCTCTCTGGGCTCCTCTGCCTTTCTCGGGGTCTTCTTTCGCCTCTTGGCTTTGATTTCGGCATCTTCATCAGCACTCACAGCACCGTCCACTGGCTTTTCGAAGGCTCGCTCAGGTGCTGCATCTGGTCCTGCCCTCTCTCCAGCACTTTTAATTTTTGGTTTCTCTTCTCTGTTGTCAGAAAGCACGTCTTCATTATCATCCTCTTGAAAAGGGGAATAATTGAGTACACTTGACTCAGATTCAGTCTGGGATTCAACACATTTCTCTTTTTTTGTTTTTCTGTTTTCTTTGGGATCTTCTCTTATTTTAGTCTTTAAATCTCTTATTTCACCCTTTTTAATTTTCTTGTGTTCCTTAGTTTCTTTTATTTCATCTTTCTTGGGCCGTCTGGGCTCTTTTAACTCTTCTCTGGCTTCCAAAATTCTTTTCTTTGTCCTTAAGTCAAAAACTACACTTTCCAAGGAGCTCTCCAGTTCTGACTTGGATTTATCTTTTGGTTTTCCAGCCTTTGCCTTTTTCTTTTTCAGGTCATCTGGGCTTTTCTCTTCTCTCTGCCTCGACTTCTTCTTTTTCTTCTTTGGGGAAGCACCTTCTTTTGTCTCACTTTGCTGATCGCTATCAGAGTTTGCCTCAAATATGTCATTGTTTAAAGATAGTTTCTATAAAACACAAAAAAGGTTAAAATACCTATTAACATATTAACTGTAAAGGTGCTAACAAGTAGTGCTAATGAAATCTGGTAGAAATGGTTTTGTTTTTCAAGCAGAACCTCAACTCCTTAAAAGTACTTCCCTCAAGTGAAGCTGAGCAATATTACTTATACTGTACTTCTGACTAAGGTGTTAGTGGTAATGAGGGGAGTCAACTTAAAAAGCAAATGCAGGCCAAGTGCTGTGCCTCACACCTGCAATCCCAGATCTTTGAGAGGCTGAGCCAGGAGAATCATTTGAGCCCAGGAGTTTGAGACCAGACTGGGCAACACAGTGAGACTGTCTCTCTACAAAAAATAAAAAAAGTCAGTCATAGTGGCACAGGCCTGTAGTCTTAGCTACTTGGGAGGTTGAGACAGGAGGATTGCTCGAGCCCAGGAGGTCAAGGCTGTCATGGGCCACAACAGTGCCACCGCACTCCAGCCTGGGCACAGAGTGAAACCCTGACTCAAAGTAAACAAACAAACAAAAAAGCAAATGTAGACCGAAGGAAACAGTTTATCAGTACCACTGAAGGCCCAAACTGAAGCAGGAGTGAACAGTAATAGCCTTGTATACAGTGAGCTGTAAATGATTTGAACGTCAACATTTCCAATGCCACAAAGAAAGTAAATCTTATAGACATTCTTGGCTGCCAAAGTAGTTACCAATCCAATCCAATTCAATGACCTTGGGTCCCAGAATGTCCTCACACTGGTTGCTATGTTTCATAGTTATATACGTAACAAGCAAGACTACACAAATCTTACTTCCCTGATTGATATGACTGGCTATGTAATCTGAGATATTTCCTATGGAAAATTATTTTCTATTCTAGAATTTTTAAAAAAATTTTTTTGAGTTGGAGTCTCACTGTGTCACCCAGGCTGGAGTGCAGTGGCATACTCACAACCACTGCAGCCTCGACCTGCTGGGCTCAGGCGATTCTTCCAAGTAGCTGGAACTATAGGCATGCGCCACCATGCCCAACTCAATTTTTGATTTACTGTAGAGATGAGGTTTTGCCAAATTGCCCAGGTGGGTCTCGAACCCGCGGGCTCAGGCAATCCTCTCACCTCGGCCTCCCAAGGGCTCGGAATTACAGGCTGAGCCACCGAGCCCGGCTCACCTAGTTCTTAAAGTAGCCACCTTGGTCATCTCTCCCTACGTTAGACTGGTCACGAAATCCCATGGACTCCAGATCAGTTCTCCAAACTGCACCACCACCAGTCAGTTCTCCCTCTGCTTCTCCCTGCCAGCAGTCTCTCCCCACTGCAGAATTGCAACCACAGTGTCTCAAGAATTATCTTCTGGTCAAAAGGCAGAATGCATGACTGAATGAGCATATCATTATTTTCCAGCCTCTAATGAAATAATGGATGTGGGCATCAGTGGCTCCAAAGTCATCACATGAAATGAGAAGCTTCCTAGTGATGGGAGGACTAGGACGCCTAAACTCACTGATGAGCTTGTGTCACTCCGAGTCTCACCTGGATGGCATGTGCTTTCTGAGGTGACACAATAGGAGGTAGACACCATAGCACCACTCACAACTACCTATTCTAGCTGTCAGTTTACAGGAAATACAGGGGCAGGGGAACACGTGAAAAGACACCATGCACTCAGCCAAATCCTGAACGTGGGAAAGCCTACAGAAAAATGACCTGGTTTCTTCATCAAATAAACAACATGGAGAAAGGGAGGAGCAGGTTGGGGGAAGAAACTGGTCAGATTAAAAGGGATTTAGGGCTTATCAATGACTGCAATGTGTAGAGCCCAATTCAATCAAATCAGCAAATACATGGCTGTCTTGCTTTTATTTTTTGAGACAACAGGGAAAAAATTGAAAAAGTAGGTGGATACTAGAAGCGATTAAGAAACAAGTCTTGCCTTTTACTGGCGTGATAATGCCACAGTGGTTGTGTGGGAGCTTTGGTGTAGTCATATAATGGCTGTGCTTTACACAAGCATGTCAGGGTGAACTGGTAAGACACCTGGAATATGCTTTAAAATGCTCCATCAGATAAAGGGGAAAGAATGGCAAAACTCTGCTGCCAGTTGCCTGGGAGCTAAGTACTGGAGTCTCATTAAACTATCCTCTCCATTTTTGTATGTCCAAATGTTCCATCATAAACATTTAAGACCACCTTCCTACTGTTATGACCGAGTAAATAAGAAGTTATGCCAGCAAGTTGAGTCTAATTAATTATGAATTTATTAAACGTGCAGGTCAAGAGTAGGCAAACGCCAGAAAAGCTCTTGGCAAACTGGTGCAGTTTGTGACAAGCTTTTATAGGAAAAATTTGCATTGGCTACATAGCAACTTAGTGAGCATGACCATAGCAACTATTAACTAACGACTTGGCAACCAAAATAGGAACTTTGTTAGGGAGCTTTGATTAATTTCATGTCACGTAGGCATAGCCAGTGCACAGAAAGTCCCTAGAGTTCTGCCATTAAGACATAGTTAAAGGTAGTTACATAGAGACAAGGAAGAAGCATCGTTATACAATGGAGTTACCTTGGTTAGGTCACTAACAGAATATAAGAACAGACTATGAAAATGTCAAAGCCTGGCAGGGCTCAGTGGCTCCGCCTGTAATCCCAGCACTTTGGGAGGCCGAGGTGAATGGATTGCCTGAGCCCGGGGGTTCGTGACCCGCCTGGGCAACTTGGCGAGAGCTTATCTCTACAACAAATCAAAAATTAGCCAGGCATAGCAGCACACGCCTGTAGTTCCAGCTACTTGGAAGGCGGAGGCAGAAGGATCGCCGGAGCCCAGCAGGTCGAGGCTGCGGTGGCCGGGAGCGGCCAGTCTGAGCGACAGAGTGAGTGAGACTCCAACTCAAAAAAAAAAATAAAAAAAAAAAATAAATGATTATTTTAAGCCATATTTTAATTCAATAAGTAAGCTGCACCTGGGTGTTCCAGCCCCAGAATACTTGGCCAGATTCAATGAAGTCACAACATAAAAACTAGCTACCATCTGATAAAGTTACTGTTTACCAATAGACAACAAGCATTAGATAACATTAAGAAATCAGTGTTAACTTTTAAAACGACCTTAAAAAGAATTGTAAGAATTAAAATCACACATACCAGTCTGAGCACTTTTAATACATTGGCAACCTGTTATCTTACTAATTTTAATAGTCTCCTAGGTAAAAAAAAAAAAAAAAAAAAAAAAACCAAACCCAAATTATTATTTACTATCTAAAACCTAGACAACTTGGAAAACGAAATGGACGCAATAAATGCACTAAGACAATAGGTACACACAGAGACTGACCCAGACACAAAGGATACACAGTCACACCACACTCTATGGGAATGCTTACTGAAATGTGCCTAATACCTCCTGCAGTATTGTACATGAGGTGATGGCAAAGTGGTTGATGACACCAAACAGGTAAATGCACACATATGCATACAGCACACCCACACCCGTACCTTCTCCTTCAAGTAATCACTGGAAACCACTAGCTTCTCAACAGTACAACCATGACTCAAAACACTTTGGGAAGTTTACTCTTCCATTTACAGAACCAATTCTGAGTCATTCTTGCACTATTTTGAGTCAAAACAGTGTCAACAGAATTACTTCCAAAGAAAAATTTCAAAACCATTTTGGATGCAGGATTATGGGGATAAATGCCTATTTTACAAAATGTACTCTTAAATAAATAATGCCTATTTGGATGCACAAATCCTACCTCATTTTACATTAAAAAGGTATAAGTACTTTTTACTTTATAGCTAACAAAGAAAAGTATTTTAAAAAGCTATCTTTTCCTCCAGAAAAAAAAGGTACCCTAAGACAAATTTTAAAATAAAGGCAAAATACAGGTGACGGTTTCATAATTTAAAAAAATATATCTGTTAGCTGGACTCGGTGGCTCAGCCTGTAATCCCAGCACTCTGGGAGGCTGAGGCGAGTGGACTGCCTGAGCCAGCAGGTTTAAGATCAGCCTGGGCAACTTTGCAAGACCTCGTCTCTACAATAAATAATTAGCCAGGTATGGTAGCATGCACCTGTAGTTACGGCTACTTAAAAGGCTGAGGAGGAAGAATTGCTGAAGCCCAGCAGGTCGACACTGGTCGCTGTGAGTGTGCCACTGCACTCCAGCCTGGGTGACGAAGCGGGACTCCAATTCAAAAAAAATCTATCTATATCTATTTATTTATATATCTGCTTGTTTTCCGAACCTATCTATACATACATATATATCTATTTATTTATATATCTGCTTGTTTTCCGAACCTATCTATACATACATATATATCTATATCTATTTATTTATATATCTGCTTGTTTTCCGAACCTATCTATACATACATATATATCTATATCTATATTGGTTTGTTTTCTGGATAAAACACATTAATGGCTGAGTGAGTACAGTTGGGAGGCTGAGGCAAGACTGCTTGAGCCCAGGAGTCCAACATCAGACTAGGCAACATAGCAAGACCTTGTCACTACAAAAAATAAAAATAAGAAACTAGTTAGGCATGGTTATGCACGCCTGTAGTCCCAGCTACTCAGGAGGCTGAGGCAAGGTGGGGAGATTGTCTGAGCCCAGGAAGTCGAGGCTGTGGTGAGCTGTGATTGTGTCATTGTACTCCAGCCTAGGCAACAGTGAGACCTTGATTTTTTAAAAAAATTTATTAATAAAAAAGTATTTTAAAGGAAGGGCAAAGGGGAAAATTCTTAGTATATAGTACTAACTTTGAGAGAAAGATCATCTATCTATGTATACCCCAAAGGCACTTAAGGAGCAGAAAATAGATTTCACCCATCTTTCTGCAACGGTGACTGTTTAAGGGTCTAGACCAGGTAAGACACTCCAAGTTCATTACAAGGAAAAAAAAGCTAAATACTGAAATGTTGATGTAAGCATAGCAGAGGTTCATCAGTGTCACAACGTAAACCAGAACTCAAAACAGACCAGTGGGTGCCTTACCTATAGGCCTTCAATACTTTATTTGTATATATAGATATTTTTTTGAGTTGGGGTCTCACACTTGCCCAGGCTGCATTTTAAAAACCAGAAGGCAAAAATTACAATAAGAAACCTGAACTGGCCAGGCTCGGTGGCTCAGCCTATAATCCCAGCACTTTGGGAGGCCCAAGTGGATTACCTGAGCCCTCAGGTTTGAAACCAGCCTGGGCAACTTGGCGAGACCTTGTCTCTACAATAAATCAAAAATCAGCTGGGCATGGTAGCACACACCTGTAGTTCCGGCTACTTGGAAGGCTGAGGTGTAAGGATCGCCAGAGCCCACTAGGTCGACACTGAGGTGGCTGTGAGTATGCCACTGCACTCCAACCTGGGCAATAGAGTGAGTATCCAACTCAAAAAAAAAGAAAAGAAAAAAGAAACCTGAACTACAAGCACTCAACGGTCAAGCAGATTAATCAGGACGGACGGAACAAAGGGCCAGGGCTCAAAGAAAGTCCTGGGACTCCCTTCCAAACAACACCACGTGCTGAAGTTCAAAACTGGGTTTGTGAAGCCCTACCCTGTGCCACAGTTAGAGTTGACAGGAGTACAGCAAGAGTCTGGACAGAGACTAGAATGTATATGAGGCTGTATGCAAACAAGTCACATCTTCTCTGCCTGAACACTTTATGGGCATGGAACCCACATCTGGCCGGGGACACTTCCCCAGCTGGCACTGTAAAACTGTAGTCCAGGCCGGGCTCGGTGGCTCAGCCTGTAATCCCAGCACTTTGGGAGGC